ACACACACACACACACACACACACACACACACACACACACACACACACACTCTCTCTCTCACATACACATGCACACACATTCTCTTGTCTATCGATGGGGGCGCCACCTGCTGGAAACTGGGTCTCGAGTCCCATGAACATCGCCAATAAAGCACCAACCGGGACCTCATACACGTCAATGAAGCACCAGGACCTCACACACACTTGAATAAAGCACCAACCGGGACCCCACACATGCTCTTCGAGTTGTGCATAGCGAACATGACAAAACATACACACAGCATAATCACTACCTTACCCTTCCCCAACCACATCAACAAGCGAACTACGGGCTGAGCACCTCACGGTAAGTCAATTGAATTGATTGACGTTGAAGGTCTCAAGGGCATAAAACGCAACCCTGACGGGCTGCGAACTATACCGCAATCTTACGGCTGCGAACAGTTCAAGGGTGCCCCCTGCCAGCATTGATTACCCTGGAATCCAGAGGATTAACTGAGCAGGGAACGTCCTTTGATGGTAATGAAATGGATACTATTGAAAAGTTACTTCAGCAATATTCACCTCAAAGGAGGATAAGTCAAATATAGAAACCTGTAACCCCTGAAACAGACCCCTGAAACAAACAAGCAGACAAGACAAGCAGAACAATAGTGCCTCCATCATTGAAGGGAAGAACCTCAGGCTGATCCAGGTGGAGTTAGGGGCCAGTGGCCGGTACCCGCCGAGATACTCGGCTCCAATCGCATCCACCACCAACTTCCTCCATCCAAATCACATCCATCCTCCTCAACTCCGTCGTCGTAAAGAACTCCAGAGGAAAGAAGATCCTTGTTGAAGCCAAAATGTTCTTATGGGACGTTGGACCCGGTTTCCAGCACGTGCGGGTAATTCTTTAAGCCCAACCAATTCAATTACCTGTCAAATCTGGACAATACGGCTTTTCAGGCCTTTTTTTTTCATTGTCATTATAGTATTATGGGGAACCCCGTAGCAGCCACATCCGTGCTCAAGCCTCCAACGAGGGAACATGCGGGAGCTGCACCCACCAGCAGGTGCGATACCTGCTACAGCACGTGGGCGATACCGGCCAGGGGTCAGCCCATAGCATCAGGACCGAGCTTCTTCGATGGGCCAGTCTCTGTGCCTCCCCTCCGGCCCCCTCCCCCTATCAACATCAGCAGTCTCTGCTCAATGCCACTCGGGGGGACCAACGGCATATCTCTAGGTGGCGGGCGCCAAGCTTGTCCAGGAAGGTACATGAGGCCATTGGGGATTGAACCCAAGACCTCCTGAATGCCACTTGCGTGCCTTACCAACTGAGCTAGGCCGCTGGATTCCCACGAATAGATTGGAGCTTTTGTCCCAAAGAAAACAAACAAACAGGAAAAAGAGCTAAGCCAGTCGGTAGGCCGTGCGCTTTCCGCTGCAGAGTGTGCACACGGTTCTGAAGGGTGTACCAACGGAGCTACGCCAGTTGGTAGGCCGTGCGCTTTCGGCCGCAGAGTGTGCACGGTTCTGTGGACGATCGGTGGGGGTGGCTATGGTTTCGGGCAAGCCGACGCAGTGTAGTCGCAGACGGGGAGGCTAAAGGCGGTTGCTGCTCAGCGCGACCGACGGGAGGAGGTCGGGAACGAAATGCTGTGTGTACTAGAAGATGGACGACATGGTGAAAACGAGGTGGAGATGAGTGAGGGGTGTGGAGAGCGGATACGGGATAACTGTACGCATCGGACAATAGGACAAGCGGCGGGTAAGGGGGAGACCTCGGAAGGGGTTGGACATCGGGCATTGAAAAGGAGCGACGACCAAGCGTAACGTGCGTTCTGACGAGGAATAAATAGAACTTGCCGACTGAGAGGGATGGAACCGCGGGCCATACTTCAGTAGTCAGTCGGTATACTGCATGGTCTTTCGCTACACTGCAGGTAAGGTTGTTTCTCTTACCATGTTCATCTTCTGCTTCTAATTATTCTTTTTGTTTGTCTTCTCGTTCCTTCGTCGATCGGAAAGGGGGGAGGGGGGGGGGGAAGAGAGAGAGAGAGAGAGAGAGAGAGAGAGAGAGAGAGAGAGAGAGAGAGAGAGAGAGAGAGAGAGAGAGAGAGAGAGAGCCTCCTCCTCCTACCTCAGCATGAGAAATACTCTTCTAACCCATGGCTCCCCCCCTTCTTCGACGCCTCCGCCGCCCACTTCCTTCGCTCCGCTGTCCTCCGCTGCACGTCAAGCCGCTGCCCGCCCCTGCGTGTCCTCCGTCTCCTCCTCCACCCACCCTGCACCGCCGTCCCCTCCCCCTCCCCTCCGCCGCGTTCCCCTCCGCCCCTCCTCCGCCCCTTCTCCACTCTCCCCTCCACCACGCTCCCCTCTGTACGCTCCCCTCCGCTTGCTCCCCACCTCTGCCGCTTTACCCGCTCTCCCCTCCTCTGCCCCTCCGCCACCCTCTTCCTCCCCTCCGGCGTCCTCCCCTCGGCCGTCTTCTCCGCCTCCTTCTCCGCCTCCTGCTCCTCTGCCGGTCCTCCTCCGCCAGCAAATCCTATGCGCCCTCCTTCGCTTCCTCCTCTGCGCCATGTACCCCTCCGCCAGCTCCACTCCGCTGCCCTCTTGCTCCCCGCTTCCGCCTCGCACGGCTCTGCCGCTCTCTTCTCCGCCGCCCTCCTCCTCGCCTCCCGCTTCCCCCTCTCCACCTCCTCCTCCGCCTCTTCCGCCTCCTCCTCCGCCTTCTCCTCCGCCTCCGCCTCCGCTCCTCCGCCTGTCCTTCACCGGCCGCCCCTCCGCCTCCTCCGTGCCCCTCTGAACCGCGCTCCCGTCTGCTGTGCTCCCCTCCTCCGCCCCTCCGCCATGCTCCCCTCCGCTGGCCTTTTGCTCCCCTCCGCCCATCCGCCGCCCGTCCGATGCCCCTCCGCCCCTCCACTGACCCTCCCCACCGCCTCTCCGCTGACCCTCCCCTCCGCCCTCTTCCACTCCTCGGCCGCCCTCTTCCCTGTCTCTTATACACATCTAGATGTGTATAAGAGACAGGGGATGAGGTTACCTGCATGGAGGACATTCCAAGGTCCAAAAGAATTCCATCAGCAGAATTTTCAAGACCCAAGCGAGATAATATTGCTGTCAAATCTCGAAAATTTCCCTGTAACAGATGAACCTGGACACCATTGCATTCTTCCCCCCTCCATCCTTCTCCAATGACATGCTCCTGCCTCGCTGTTGTTGCATCGAAATTGTTACCCCCCAGCTGTCCACATGTCCTCTTGTCACTGCTCAACACGTCCCCTTGTCCAGAAACTGTTCCACTCAGCGAGTCCCCTCTCGGCGATACGTGGCAAGCAGTCGTAGCACTCCCGATGGCATCCCGGATTACCGGAGCAGCCATGGCAAGAGCAAGAGGATCTGCATCGATCCCAACGAAAGTGTGTAATTCCGGATGAGCTTTGATGATCTGAAAATGCAGCAGATATAAGCAAAGACATGCATCACAAAATGAACAAGCAAGCACACAAACAAAAGCGCATGACTACCATAAAACGGGACGACATGTGGCAGCAAGAGGTTGAATTGCAAAACCGAGAAAATAACACAGATGCAATCCAAAAGACGGATGAAGACACGGACAGAAACAAAAAGTGCATCAGCTCTGGGGCACTCATAGCTGTGTTGTCAGCTCCGAAACATCAGGGTGCACAACGAGGGATAATGCAAGTGTGAATCTGCTTCAGACAGAGACACAGCCAGCCAGCCAGCCAGCCAGACAGACAGACAGACAGACAGACAGACAGACAGACAGACAGACAGACAGACAGACAGACAGACGGAGACACAGAGAGAGAGAGAGAGAGAGAGAGAGANTTCACCGAAAAAAAAAAAAAAAACGGAAGAAGGTAGGTCAGCCCCGGAGGGAGGCTGGAGGTCTGGTGGCCATCGGGCGGGAGGAGATCGACGGAAGGACGTCAGGTGGAGGTGGAGATTGGGCGAAAGGAAGGGGAGGGAGGAGACGGGGGGAAGGAGGAGGTCAGCCGGAGATTTGGCGTCGGAAGGTAAGGGAGGGAGATGTTTCGACGGATGCAGGTTTGAAGGAAGTCGAAGAGGAGGTGGGGAGGAGGCTACTGGAAGGGGACGGGCGGCAGGGAGAAGCCGGGCGGAGGGAGTGCAGGGCTTGGGTGGTATACGGAGGTAGGAAATAGGTGAGAGAGAGAGAGAGAGAGAGAGAGAGAGAGAGAGAGTCTGCCACGCTGTCTATTATGTGATTTTGACACCTGCTGCTGGCTTTTGCCTTCCAGGAAATGCCCCAAGATGCACGCCCAGCATTACGGCTCACATGACAACGCTACTTTCAACAGCTCTCCCTGCCGGACCGCAACTTCCAAGGAGATTGGATGCTGATTGCTTCATTCATACATTACTTAAAAAACGGCACAGACACTGGACACCACGGGCGACTGGGCCGTAATGGTTAACGAGCTACCCCCAGAGCATGCATTAGCATACAAGTGAAGTGAAGAAGGCATCGATAACTGGTACATATTCACAACGCATGAAATAGGGAACCAGAGGCAGATTACAGCAAAGTCAGCAAAAAATCATCAGCACAAGTAACTGCCCCATGAAGACAACCAAAGAAAAATATGAGTCTTGGAAAACGAAGAGCTAAGTATTTTCCTTCCTCAAACCGCTCTAGGGAACCTAAAAGTAGACCCCCCCAGCCGAATGGGCATGGAATCTAAAGCAAGGATCATCACGCAGCAATTGAAAAATTAACGTCTTTCACTACACAACCCGACTGGGCTATAGACTAAGACACCGCTCTACAAATCCAGACCCTATAATACTAGTAGTAGAAAGGTGGTGGAAACACCTTGAAGTGGAACCTGAAACCTTTAACTTAATACCGTAGAGCATAGTAGCAACAAGCCTAAGCCCTCCAAAACTCCGAAGCTTACAGCGGCTAATGTTGTACCTGGTAGCTACTACCACTAAACCCATGGCTAAACAGCAGATGGAAAAAAGAAGCTCACTAATGTTGTCCCTGGTAGCTACTACCACTAAACCCAGCACTACCTCTAAACCCACGGCTAAACAGCAGATGGAAAAAAGAAGACAGAAGCTCACTAAACGAACTGTGTGCAAACTTTACAATGGCTAATTTTGTACCTAGCACTACCGCTAAACCCATGGCTAAACAGCAGATGGAAAAAAGAAGACAGAAGCTCACTAAACGAACTGTGTGCAGTTTAGCAGATAACAAGAAGAGAGAAGCTCACTAAACCAACTGTGTGCAGTTTAGCAGATGGAAAAAATAAGACAAGCTCACTAAACGAACTGTGTGCAAACTGGGATGACGGCCAAGTGGAGAATTTATACCACTGTAATGACCTGCCAAAACGCAGACTGAGAACACTGCTGATTTCTGAATTTTTTTTTGCCACTGGAATGTATACCTTGCTGAGATTCCCGTGTTCTGCTGAGTTTTCCAAGTCTGTGTGTGAGTGTGCTTGCTGATCCGTGTGCCTGTCTGAGTGCTTGTTGGCCTAAGTGTGTATGTCGCCCGCTAGGGCGCTTGTTTGTTTGAAAGCGGGCAGTTGTTTGTTTGGGAGGGGGGGGGGGGGCAGTACTACCTGTGGCCGTGACTTTTGAGGGTTGCAGCGGGGAAAAACGCTCAGGTGGCTGAAGGGGTAGCTAGCTTAGCGCACACTAAAGTAGCGGAGTGTTGGGGAAAAACACGCAAGTGGCCGAAGGGGTAGCTTAGGGCACACTCAAGTAGCGCAGTGTTGGTACCGGTAGCCCTCGAGTAGTGGTATGCCGAGCAGAAGAAGACAAAAAGTTACTGTAGTACTTCTTAGAGGCCCAGTAGCGGTAGGCCTACCTTCTTCCCCCAACATAACGCATATGCGTTGTAAAAGAATACAACGCATAGTGTGTGTTCTATTCGAATACAACACGTACGTGTTCTAGTTGAATAGCCCTAATTTTCGAATATAACGCATATGCGTTCTATCCGAATTTATTTCAAATTGGGAAACTCGAATACAACACATGCGTTGCGTTCAGGGGAAGAAGGTAGGTCTAGGCGGGTATCAGTCCAAGTAGCCTGAGTCTAGTGCCTGTGCGGACGATATCAGAGCCTGCAATAATGTTTCCCACCGAATGGGAGGAGCTACTGGTTGCTTTGAGGCCACGCGACCTGGAAGTCACTACTAGTAGCCGTGAGGCTGATTGGCCACTATATCTCCTGGAGGAGCGAGTAACTCCTCCTCAGTTGCATACCGTCTGACGACTCTAGGGCCTGTGCGGACGATATCAGAGCCTGCAATGATGTGTCCCTCCGAAAGGGAGGAGGTACCGGTTGCTTGGAGACCACGCGACCTGGACGTCACCAGCCGTGAGGCTGGTTGGCGGCTATATCTCCTGGAGGAGCGAGTAGCTCCTCCTCATTTGCAGTATGCAAGTTTGGGCGTCATGCTGCTTGAGTGGGCGCTGGTTCTCAGAGCGCTGTTGGGGAGGAAGAAGGAGAGCTGGGAGCCCTGCCTGGCTATGGCGAGCAGCCCAGCTTGAGCAGGAGGAAGAAGGGGGCGGAGGACGAGAGTGGCGGGGTACTTACTTGGCTATGGTGGATGCCATCTTCATCATTTTGTTAGGTGCTGCATCTGCAAGGCCCCGGTTGGGGTAGCGCTGCACCAAGAAGGCTTCAAGGCAGAGTCAGGCATCGTGGCCTGACGAGCAGCGGACATAGTTGCTTTGCGTTGTCTTTTGCACGTCAGGGCAAGGCCCTTAGTAGTCCACCATAGCCTAGGCCTGTTCGAAGTAGAAGAAGAGGGAGGCCATGGCTATTTTGGACCTCTTGTTGTGCGGGCAGTAAGAGGGAACTTCGGATATTGATTCTGGCTCAACCATTCATTGCTGTTATTATCATTTGGTGAAGAATAAGATTGGTGGAGATAAAGGAGGAGGAGGACAGTGGAGAGAGAAGGGGGGATTTGTCATTGGTCTTGCTGGTGTACATCTTCTTCTTCTTCGTTCTCTCTTCTTCTTTCTCCTTCTTTGGTCTCTCTCTCTTTGCAAGTGCTTCCATTTCTTTTGCAATCGGGTGGCATTGTCTTTCCTTGTGAATTTGCACTTCGGAATTAGCCAGGATTGTAACACCACTGTTTTTGCCTGTTCCCTAGAATTAAAAAAAAAAAAAAAAAAAAAAACGCCCCTGTGGCAGAAAGTAGCGAAGCTACGGGAAGCAATAGACATAGATCTAACGGATAACCACACACTCCTACTCCTAGGTGTCCACACCCCAAGGGACTGGTTCCCCTTAGAGTCAAACCTCTTCATGATACTCAGGAAAGCAATTTTATGGGTCATATGGAAGAAAAGATGCCAGGAGACAATAGATAAGCTAAGGATGCACATTTAGGAGGTGTGGGGAATAGTCCAGCAGCAAGTAGAGACTGAGTTTTGTGTCCTTTGGCGTAAGGTTAAAACGAAGACGAAGGATGATGAAGACAAGGCCAAGGATCACCAACAAAAATTCGAGGATAACTTCCTCGCAAAAGGCAAGGTCGCAATCATCAAGGGCCAAGGCTTAGTTTTCAAGCTGTGGGATGAAACGCCGCCAGGAGATCAAATAGAAACGCACTCAATAGATAGTATCCCTAAGCATTAACATGAGCTGTAGCTAGACACGATATTATCTTTATTATCAGGTGGTCCATGGAGAGCTACTAAGAAGACAGATCCTCAGCGTCGTCACCCGAATAGAACGCCCGGTCATTATAGCTGTATATGGGGCAACTTTCCGTCTAGATACAGCGATAATGACCGGGCATTCTATTCGGGTGGACACGGTAGTGCGAATAGGGTGTAGAGTTCCAGCAAAACTATAGCAGAAAATAGTACCATCCACTAGAGCTAGCTCCTCAAAGCAACCAATAGCTGAACTACCAGCGAAAACACTCACTAGGGTTTAGGGTTTAAGACAGACCAACGACAGACGGTCAGGCTAACTGCTCCAGCACTTCAGGTAAATCGGACAGCCAACTAGCTGAGAGGAACAGACTAGCCCCAGGCCCCCTTTGTTTTGGGACAATAGTCAGCAAGGTACAGTGAGAGTCAGGCTAGCAACTGCAGATGTCGCATACCGTAATGGTACAGACCAGAACAAGAACCGACCTCTCTCACATAGTACAAGATAGCACAGCGGAAGGCTTAAATACCAATGATCCGAACAATCAATGTTGCCATGCAGACCAAACATACATCATCATCATTCCATGGTGTGAAGGGGCCTGGCGCTCACACAGGGAGAATGCACCAGTCCCCAACTATACACAGACGAAGAAGAGGGGAAGATGGGAATGTCGTCAACACCAAGTCTTCGGTACAGTCCCAAATAATCCCTCGTCAAATGTCTGAATCCCAATGTCGAGTCTGGATCCAAATGTCGTCAAGTCCCAAAGTCACCAATCTCTCTCTCTCGTAGTCTGCAGATACTGAGAAGTCAGGTTGCAAGAGGGTGAGGAAGAGATGGTGGACTTAGAAGAGGAAGAAGCAGAACCCTCTCTCTCTCTCTCTCTCTCTCTCTCTCTCTCTCTCTCTCTCTCTCTCTCTCTCTCTCTCTCTCTCTTGCTAGGTACTAACCTGTGAAGGTGGCGCCTTGTTGCAGGTACATCGAAGATGAAGCTGAAGCTATGGCGCCACAGTTTAGTCTCCATGGCCTCCGCCAACCATCTCTCTCTCTCTCCAACGCTACTCTAGCTCTTACTAGCGCCCAGCGCTGAAGACTACTGCTAACGCTACTACTACTCCTGCAGCGCTCCTCCAGAGTGCTGCTGCCGAATCCTGAAGACTACCTCTTGCCTCCTGCACGTGAAGTGCCTGGGAAGGTCCTATGAACTGCCTCCTGACTCCCCTCAGCCTGCAGGGCGGGCCAGTCTTATATAGTGCTGGCCCGTCCAGGAGGCTGCTCTTGCCAATGCCAAAACGTGCCGGACCCTGGCGTTGAAGTTCAAACAAAGGTTGTCTTGAAAACGCCCAAAATGGCCTGTGCTAAAACCCTGGTCTGGTGCCTAAGTTTCAGGGCAGGTCGATCTTACGAAGGCCTGAAAATGGCCCTCCGTTTCAGGCTGAAAAGACTCAGGGCCTGGAGGGCCCTTTTTGGCTGAAACGACACAGGGCCTGTAGGCCCTCGTTTTCAGGCTTTTAGGCTGAAACGAAACAGGCCCCTACACCTACGGACCCCTAGGCTACCTGGTCGGGCCCTGCTGGGCCCGTGTGGTACTGAGTATGCCACAGCAGATCATGTAAGCCATGCAGGCTAACTTAGGCAGGGGTGAGGGGTGGTACATCCTTCCCTCGGGAAGTAATCCACTCGGGCCCCTCCAACCGTAATGGGGAGGAGCGTGTGTGTGTAACTATTGTAATTTTTCTGACTTGCTGGTAGAATAGGAACTGGACTGACGCTCCCCAGAATGGAAAGGAGCCAGAACTCGCAAGGCTCTGTTTTTCCCCAAAAAAAGAACAAAAACGACTTGCTTAACATCAGCGGCACTCTTATTACTGAAGAAGACTTCCGACAACTCCCCCTGCGGCCAATTGTCGACCACACCATCTGGGCCCACCAAACTGAGACTCACACACACATACACATGCGCTTGCGCATACAAACAGAGTCAAAACTCAACAAACCACACCATCTGGGACCGCCAAACTGAGACTGACACACACACAAACATGCACTTGCACTTGCACATACAGACAGAGTCAAAACTCAACAAGTAAGCTATGGATTCTGAAAAGGCAGCAAGCAAACTCAGAATTGGAATCTTTAGCAAACAGATCAACGGGACAACGGGACAGCATTTTCTCAGAAAGGTTCAAGATCGCAAACTGAAACTTTGTCGGGCATTTCGCGCAGCACAAAACATAAAACGATGCTGAGAAGGTTACAGGTTCCCAAACAAGACAGTGGCAGTAAAAGAGGAAAAAAAAGGTTCCGTGGTATTTCCTCCTGTTTTTATGCAAGTGGATTTCTCTGTTGGCTGTTGGGTTCTTATTTTTCTTATTATGAAAGGAGTGGCTAAGTATAGGACAGTTCATTATGCTTTTCGTTTACTTTTGTGCTTTTTCCATTTCCTTTCTTGTGGGCGAAGCCGCAACAGGTACCCTTGTCCTTGTTTATCTTCCTTCACTTCTTTCCTCCTTTCCTCCTTTCATTGTTTTGTCTTTCCTTGTCGTCCTGCTTTCCTCCATATTGTCATCAGCCCAGTGTGTTGTGGCCCTCCTTTAATATGCCATAGCCTTCACTATTGACATGCTCCCCTCTCGTCGCCATGACCGACCATGGAATTTTCTCCACCGAACGAAATGCAACTCATCCTGACTATAGCTGCATTTGTGGCGAACTTTCAGTGTCGGTAGAGCGATTATACTGAGTGGAAGCATAATGGACACTGTTTACACCTTTTGTTTGTGCGCGAGATTGACATTTTCTCTCTACATCGGCTTTTTGAACCCCTCTTTCTTTGTTTTGTCATCCTTGCTGCAGTGGTGGTTCTTGTTGTGCTAAGGACGCAGTCCCACTAGTAAAGAGGATTGGATTAAATCTGGATGTGTTTTTTGCCGAGATGCAGAAACGCAGATCACTCGGGATTCTCTGCACCTCTCCACGAACACGTCGAGATTCAGCCGTTAAGTCCAATCCTCTTTGCTGGTGGGACTGTGGCCCAGGACTGTTTTTCTTTAGCTGACTTTTTCACCCTTCTGCGTCGGTCTGGCTGTCTCCGGCGGTGAGGCGTAGGGTCGCGAAAAGGAAGTGTGCCGACTTTGGTGATTTTTGGTGCTCTGAATATTTGACAGAAAAATCTGAAAAAATCAGGGTCATTGAGCATTTGATCGTTTGGACGAAAATAGAAAAAATCTTGATGGCAAAGAAAAGATGTTGGTGCGTGTGTGTTCTGTCGAGGCAGCAGTAGCATCTGGAGCGTGGGCAATTACTTGCTGGTGGTAGAGTCAGCGCATCCTCTCCTCATGGCATGCAGCAAGGTAGAGGAGGAGCGGATGTTGGGAGAGGTGGGAGGGAAGTTGCTGGTGGTGGAGGAAGAGGGGGACGAGGTGTTGCAACAACCGAGAGGAACAGAGGGGCATTGGCGGGGGTGTATCTTCCGAGGAAAGAATTACTGGTGGTAGAGTCAGAGTGTCCTCTCCTCACGGCATGCAGCAAGGGAGAGGAGGGATGGGAGTTGCCGGCGGGGGAAGAGGAGGACGAGGAGTTGCAACGACCGAGAGGAGCAGAGGGGTGTCGAGAGGGGTGCGTCCTCCTCTTTCGAGGAAGGAACTGGGGACGGGAGTCAGTGGTGGTGTAGCAGCAGGGGTGGCAGCATATGGCGGTATGGACAAGAAAATGATGGTGGGAGCTGCACAGCAGTATATGAACGACCGCGCGAGAGTGGGTGCGAAGAACAGGGGCGCACTCGAGGTTGACAACTTTCGTAACTTGGAGGCGGTGACTGTGGGTGGGAGTGGTGGTGCCCTAAAGAGGAAAAGGGAGGAAGGAGCTCATCCTTATGCTGAGCGGGTGGTGGACAATCCTCGAGGCTACTCCTCTGGGGGTGATCTCCATCTTCCCGGGTGTGCAGAGGCCGTCAGAAGCGGTGGGGGTATTGACAATATGCTTTCCCAGCCGGTTCTTGTTGCTGGATCGGGTCCAGGTTCAGGTTCACATCCGGGTCAAGGGCTATCGTCATTAAAGGGGGTGCAGTATTATGCAGGGGACAACAAGGGAGAAGGGTCGGGAATGGGAAGGGCGGGAGCGAAAGGCTGGTCTCACATCCCGCCGCTCAGAGGTGTATCGCAGGGCAAACAAAATGTGTCCAGTGCAGGGAATCCGGGGTTGAAGATTGATGAGGATGAACACCGACAAGCTGACAGAAGAGGGGAGCAGGCAGGGATGCATCCTGTTAGATTGGGCAACAAGGTTCTATCTGACGGCAGTGAAGAGAAGCTACCTAGTGATGGGAGCAGTAGCCAGGGTCTGCTTGATGGCGGCGAACTTTCGTCCTTACCCGGGTTGAGTTCGAGTCATGCCAAGCGCTTGGGACACGAAGGCGGCGGTGGGGAACATCATAGGCACATGAGTGGAGGAGGAGGAAGCATTGCAGCTTCTAGAGCGTCCCGTGGTGAGGTGCTCAGTCCGTCGAAAGGGGTAGGGGGTGAGCTATCGTCGGATTATGTTACAGCCAATAGGAAGGGAGAGGGAGGCGGCGGAGCCGATCCTTCCGCCGAAAGAAGGCGGCGCTTCGGTAACCCATTCGCCTACTTTGGGATGAGGGAGCTGTCTTTCAAAGAGAGGATGGTGCTGATCGAGAATATTCAGACCCTTCCCGAGGACCGACGTCTGAAGGTCATGGACATCATTTCGTGCAGGAACCCTAATGCGGCGGAAGGGAGGGAAGAGATAGATCTCGATTTTGTAAATTTGTTGGATGTGGAAACTTTATGGGATCTTAATCGCTTTGTAAACAACTGGGTAAAGAAGAGAAAGAACAAGTTGATGAAGCAGATGAAATCCATGGAGATGTCGGCGGAGACGCAACCACTTTCTTGGACATGTAAGGGGACGAGGAGTTGACGAAACGGAGGTGCCGGTGGAGCGTACCATGGAAAAGAGGAGGCGGTGGCAGCGATGGAAGAATGTGAAAAGGGGTGAGCGAGGCAGTCGGTGGAAATGCGAGGGCATGGGAGGTATGCGGGTAGAAATGGTGTTGCGAGGAACGACAGTGAAGAGGATTGTCGCATCGATCAACGGTGGGAGATGGGATGGAGAAAGAATGCCGTGGTTTCTGCTGTTGCTACAGGTGCGCAGGTCTCAGTGTCAAAGGGAGGGGGTAGCTCCGTCTGACCTGCTCCCTATCTTCCTCCTACCTTCGCCCGACCTGTTTCACCCCTCCTTCCTACCTACACCCGCTGTGCACCCTCCTCCTGTCCGCCCATCCTCCTCTCTTCTTCCACCCGACGACTCCTCCCTCTCTGAGAGATGGTTAATGGAAGGCCCAAAATTTGGGGGGTTTTGCCGCAGCACCACAATCAATGTCGTCGAAATTTCGCAAACAAACAGTTTCGGTGAAAAATTCGCCGAAAATGCATAACCAACCCAAAAACAGAAATTTTGATCAATGGAGCAAGTTGATAAAGCACGCAATAGATTATTTTGTTGTGCAATATTTTTTCTATGCCACAAATGAACCATTACTGCCCTCTGTACGCTCCAAATACTCTTCCCTTTCTTTGCCCAACCTCCTCCTCCCTTCCTCCACCCGACATCCTCTTCCCTTCCTTCGCCCGATCGCCTCCTCTCCTCTTGACTCCTCCCCCCCTGGCCCAGCATCCTCCTCCCTCCCTCTGCCAGTCCTCCTGGCCTCTGCTGGACCACCTCCCTCCGCCAGACATCCTCGTCCCTTCTTCCGCGCTCTGCCTGGCCTTCTCACGCCCAGCCTCCGCCTCCCTTTCCTCAGCCCGACCTTATCCCTCTTGCACCCGATGTCGGCCCGGTTTCCTCGTTCCCCCTGCCCGACCTCCTCCCTTCCTCAGTCTAACCTTCTCCCTCCATCCACCCGATGTCTCGACCTCCTGCCTTCCGCTGCCGCCCTCCTCACTTAACCTGTGCAATCTCCTCCTCCCTTTCTCCACTTGATCTGCTCCTCCCTCCTTGCTCCGTACTCTTCTCCTTTCTCCCGACCTCTTCCCTCCCTCCTTACTGCGTACTTCGTCCCACCGCCCGGCCTTCCTTCCTTCTTCGTCCCTCCATCCAATTTCCTCCTTTCTGTGCACTTCCTCCCTCCAGCCCAACCTCCTCCCTCCCTTCTTCGTCCCTCTGACTGACCTGCTCCCTCCCTCCTCACTCCTTCCACAATTTCTTTTCTACTTTTTCTTTCGCTCAATCTAAACACAGCATTAGGGGGGGGTGTAAAAGTAAGCCATTAGGTAGCGCCACGTCAACAGAGATAGTTAGAGGGTGGCTGTCGCATGCCCAGAAGGCAATCAGATGGGCATGGTGCAGAACCCAAGAACCGACCAAGGAGAACAGCAAAATACAATGCAGCGGAAGACTGATACAGACAGATCCGACTCAACGCGACTCAGAACGACTCAGATTCACTGTAACCCACTGATCATCATCAATCGGGTACGGTGCTGAACACATAGACGAAGAGCGCCGTGCCAGACAACATCCACAGATGGCTATTTCACTTCGAGAAAGCGGCCCACTTGGCTATGGAGTATAGTGTTGATGCAGCTTCCCAGCCATTGGCCTCAAAGTGGCCATACTGTAGCCATAGCCACCACCAGGGATGGCTCCCTCCCGAAAGATGGTATTTTGGAACGAAAGCAAACATCGGGCAAGCCATCAACACACCATACTTGCAGGTAATCACTGAAACAGCAATCTCCATCATCCTGCTTACAAAGGTTTGACTGAGTCCAGCCGTTGGGAAATGATTCCTTCTATGATCTGCTCCACACAACAAACTCCACTGACATTGCATGGCATTCCTCAGAGCCCAAACGGTCAACACTGATCATGAACTCACGAGTGATCGGACTCGCGAGCTTTCAGAACAAGGACACAGACTTGAACAAATGCCTTCCCCTTATCCATCTGCTGGTTGATTTGAAGTCAATGGCGACCTCATCATCTCTCGTTAGCCGAGCCAGCACACAACACCCAAAGTGGGCAGTACAATCTTGCAAGTGAACTCCGTCAAACAAGCGTCCTCTAATTGGAATGACATGCAACTGTAACACATGCAGTCCATGAAAAAGTCTACGAGATGAGATCTGTCAACCCATACAGTATGGGAAAGCCGGGTAGCATATACTGTGAGAGGAACGAAACCACTATCAGATCCAAACCTATTCCAAACGAATAGGTCAGGTGATCGATCCAAAAATAAAACGTGTTCACTTACACAATCTTACAGTATGACAAATAGTCAACACCCCCCCTGTTCACTTACACAATCTTACAGTATGACAAATAGTCAACACCCCCCCCATCCCATAGCATTCACTGCAGCTTAGATACCCCAGCTCTTCTCGAGTACCCCCTTCCCTTCCCTGCCTGTGCAACTTCTTTCACCGTTTCTTTATTTCGGATAACTGAAAGTAGTCACAAAGACGATGGTGTCCACACCAATATGGACAACGACGACGCTGTCCACACACATCGGGACAATTCCGGGTGAAAGACTTCGACATTTGAATCCGTTATCACGTCACAATACTGGGCTCATAACAAGCATATGTTCATGATGATAACCTTTACCCGATGGGGAGGTTCGGAAAGAGGGTACACTTTGTAGAAAGAACTATTCACATTGGAAGGTAACGCACAAAAGAACCGACTGCAACTTCCATCCTTATCTGCAAAGCTGGGATCAGACATCTTCTATGGTAGTGATCTCAACAGTGTTTCAGCAACATGGACCAATTACAGTTCAGCCATCTTCTTCTTTTTTTTCTATACTCTTTATAAAGGGAATAGCGGGTCTCGCGTGACGCTCCCGCGAGACCGCGCTTCCAGTGTTGGGAAAGCCAGTGGGGGCAACGTGCGGGCCCAAGGGAAACGGACAGAATTGCGTGCGAGAGTCTTGCAGCGTTGTTGCCCGCGCATGTTTGAATACAGGACATAGCGCAGTGTGTACGTGAGTGCAGCGTGTCCAGGCCTCGTTGTTGTTGTTTTTTCAGTAGATTCTTTCCTTTTTTATTTATTTTTCAGTAGATTCGTTGCTTTGTTTTTCGGTATGTTCCCTTTTTGTCCTGTTCTGAGAGGGGCGATGCGATGCCACACAAAAGACAAAAAATGAAGGACAGAGGGCCTCGCTCTGCTACTCTCGACATGCACAAAAGACAAATCATGGTAGTGTATCTTTCCATGTTCTAGCGAGAGATTCACTCTCTTGATGTGCACACAAGACAAAAGTCATGGTGGTGTATCTTTCCATGTTCTAGCGAGAGATTTACTCTCCTTTTGCACATTTAGAGGGCAAATCATGGTGGTGTATCTTTCCATGTTCTAGCGAGTGCGAGGAATGAGCCCTCGCGGGGCCCTTATCAGACATACAAGTGTTCTGGGCTGTGGCCCCCAGCAAGCCTCGTACCCGCCCTACGTGAAGGCGGGCTTGAATATCCACGTTTGGTCTCCTATTGACATTTTTCCATATGTGTGGTATCAGACAGTTGCAGCACGCCGGTTGGTTACAAAGCAATGTGAGCCTTTCCTGGCTCTATCCGGAAGCAACCGCTGAGCTGCACAGTTGAGCCCAGGGCCCCAGTTGGCTGCGCCCTGGGCACACACATTGGGAGGCCGACACATCATGCAGTGGCCGCGAACGAATGAGAAAGCAGCAGCATCGCCACACAACCTCGACGAGCCAATGAGATGGAGCCTGGACGGCTGCCTGGACGTGCCCAACTGTAAGGGGCCCAGGCCCGTAACAGCAGAAGTGGGCCTGGGTGCAGACACTGGGGCCTGACTGGAAGCTACTGGAAACTTCCCCAGCTAGGCCGCCATGGGAAGCTGCGCTATGCGGCCAGGCCAGGGCGCACACGGGCGCAAGAGGTGAGAGGGCACTGCGGTGGCAGTGGGAGCACGGTGGCCATAGCCGGGCTGAGCGTGCGGGTGCAGGTGATGGCAATGGTGGTCTTCCGGTAGGAGGCGCATGCAGAGGGGATCAAGGGGTGATGAGGGGAGGAGAGAGAACGTACCTGGTGTATGCTGGCGGTCGGCATTGGTGATGACGTCACATACATTGGTCTTCAACTTCGATGTGATCCATTCGCATGAACGTCGATAGGATAGATAGGCTGAGTAGTGTAGGCTGGGCAATGGGCGCCAGACAGTAGGGGCGACATTGGATACATTGTTGGTGTGACCAGAGAGCATTGACATTGGCACCGAGTTCATTGTGTTGCTCTTATTTGGATGGTATCTTGGTGCATTGTGCTCTCTGCTTGGTACATGACTATCTGGACTACTTCATGATTTTGCAACTTGGTTTTCTGTCTATCGCTCTCACTCATATTCCTTGCATGAGAGATTCACTCTCCTTTTTGCACATTTCGAAAGTAGTGGAGCGAGGCCCATAAAATTGTGGCAGCGTACTGGCACTTTCTTTGGCAACACGTGTGAAGCTTTTCTCAGGGCGGCAGGATTGGCTCCAGGGCTTACGTGAGAATGAATCTCCTGTGGAACACGGAACATGGCCGCTCTGTTTTTCTCCCTTTTTGGTAACTGTCCTTTTTCCTGTGAATCTCCCATCAGAAGATGGGAAGATACGCCGCTGTTTTTTTTTGGGGGGGGGTGCCTCGTGCAGCGGCTTAGGGTGTGCTCACACTATGGGAAGACAACGTTTTTTTATGTGCCTTTTTGGTACCCCGCATGCGGCCTTGGCTTCAGCATTCATCAAATGTCCAAAAGAAGAATGAATCTCCTGCCGGAACACGACAGGATGCACAGCTGATTTTTTTTTTTGTGGAGGTGGCCTCGTCAATGCAGAGGCTTACGGCATAGTTCCGCGACAACTTTCTTTGCTTTCTCTGATTTTTTTTTTTTTTTTTTTTTTTTTTTCTGGATGGTGTTTCAGGTCACGGAGGGGTGTGGCCCTATTACTGTGCTGTCCTTCCCGCCTCCCTCCCCTCCTGTGCTCGCACCCCTCCTGTGCGCTGTGGCGGCTTCGCTTGTTGTGTTTAAAATTGGAAGTTTTACTCTATCCAAAAGACTGTTGTGTGCCATTCGAACAGAGACATTGTGCGCAATCCCGTTCGGAAAATTGCATGTCAACTTGTCTGCCAGACTGCAGACATGATTGCCGACAAGCCTACAGACGTCCTCGCAAAACCACCCCCCCGAGCCTCATAATCCCCAGCCCTTTCACCAAAAATACCCACATAAACAACAGCAGCAA